AAAAAAAAAAAAAAAAAATGCAGGCGAAAACCGAACTCCCGGGAATCCTGTGTGTAAAAAACAAAACGCGGGGGGGGGGGTCGAACGCTCCCAGCACGTCATCAAGGGAAAAGGGAGACTAGTATTCATATTGAGTAATTGTGGAGGAGGAGGAGGAGAAGGAGGAGGATGAGGAGGAGGGAGGAGGAGGAGGAGGAGGAGGAGCAGGAGGAAGAGGAGGAGGAGGAGGAGAAGGAGGAGGATGAGGAGGAGGAGGAGGAGGAGGAGGAGGAAGCGAGCGAGCGAGCGAGCGAGTGGCGCAGCAGCAGTCGGATCGATAGCTGCGGCAGTGGATGGAGATCGCGGGAGGGTTGGCAAAAATCCCCCCCCTCCTGCTAGTATAGGGCGCCCGAGTGGGCGCCACGCCGCGCCCGTGGCGAGCACCTCCCGTGGGCGCAGTGCTGGCCACGCTGAGCAGTCAGCGCCTGCAAACCAGGCACCAAATTAACACGGCAGCTACATGTCGGCACAGGCCGACGGAAGGCAAATATGCTTGGGGTGGTGAAAGAAAAAGAGGGGGCCACGAAAATGATTCGCGGCCCCAAGATATTAGTCAGACGAACCCGAGTCTCCCTCCCCAGCGCCACAACCAACAACGATGCTCGAGGCTGCCGCAGCAGCAGACACGGAAGAGCACTGGGCGGTGGCACGAATGCGGTCAGGAGACTCGGGTAGGAGCTCTAACTGGACACCCGTGCCAGGGTGTCGGCCGCTCTCCGCACGAGCAAGCTCCCTGAGGTGACCGTTGCGCGCCGCCTGCATTTGCGATACACCACGGCACGTCAAACGAAGTCCCCGACAACAGCCATCAGTGAGCACCAAAAAAACAAGCGCAATTCTGGCATATTATAACCCGCCCATCTCTGACTAGGCGGTGATTCAACTCGCGGAAAACATCAAGGTCCTCATTCCAGGCGGCCGACCCTGCTGCCTCAGCACTGGAGAGAGTGGGGGTCCACAGGGGGCCCGAGGCGGAGGGAAGAGGCTCAGGGTCGGCCGACTCTGGCTGCAACTGACTAGAGGCCCTCTCTTGGTCATGGAATGCGCTCTCGTGGTGGCCCCCAGGCAAAGAGGACGCGGCGTCAGCAGCAGCAAGGGCAGCCCGAACACTCGGGTCACCTGGGCTGGATTCGTAACTCTGAAAAAACTCTCGCGCACGCCAGGCCTGGATCGGGTCGGGTCTGCAGTGCTTCCTGGCCCCACTGCGGAGGCCTTTCAGTGTGTGTTCAGTAGTGGCAGAGATGGTACAACTACGGCACCTCCACTCTGATCTGGCAGGTATAAAAACTAAATCATGCTGGACGAAAGAAACACCCCCCCCCCTGCACTGGTGCCTTGGGAGGCACAGGCGGAGGTTCACTAGTTTGGCCTGCAGTCCCAAATACCTGGACGGCCCTAGAAAGAAAATCCCACGTGCTCTTGAGCTTCTTGATACTGGCACGCCCGACAGAAACCGCAACGTCTGGCGCTTTGTGCATCGACGACCCGATGCGGGCGAAAAAATCTGCCAGAGGATTGCCACACCAATCCTCCATGTGGCGCTGAGGGAGATGGAGCACATCTTCGAGCTCGCGATGGGCAGGGACCCAGGTGAACGTGGGCCTGGGGCGGCCCTCGGCGGCAGCGGTTATCTCACGCCAGATGTTAGCATGCTGTGATCGCGCCCCCTCCAAATGCAGATCCCACGAGGCGCCTTCCCGAACAAAAAAGAAGGGGCCACTGCGCACCTCGGCGCTATGGGGTGCAACCTTGGTCGCCATCAAACCAGCGAAACGTTCGGACCTGGGCGCGGTCTGACGCCCAGGCAGGGGCCCCAAAAAGGGCCCACAGCGGGAAACTACAAGGCCCAACTTCCACCACAGACCATCCACGCCGTCTAAGTTCGGGACTGGCGCTAGCCAGTCCCGAACCGTCAGTGTAGACGCGCTGCCCCCACTCTTCATGGGTCGCACCCCAATGGAGCACAGGGCGCTCAGGGAAGGGGGGGGGGGGGCAAACTGAGCGGGTAAAAAGGGGGCCCATACGACAGCTCCAGAGTGCCCCAATCAACGGCAAGTTTCTGGCATCCCTCATCCCTGAGCGCATTCCTATGCTCCAAAACGTCGCCGGGGAAAGCCTCAATGTCCAGATGGTCCAGGGGGTTACTTAAACAGGGACAGTCATGCAATTGGTGGCCAGATGTGGCATTCTCGGCCTGGCAAACGTCACATTTAGCCGAAGCTCGGAGCCTGGCGGGGTGCTTCCTCGCGGGCGCCCAGCAGCCTGAACCCAGTAGTACTCGAGCACATCCGCGTCGGGCGGGGTCTCGAATACGCAGGATACCTATCCGCAGGGCCCTCCGCCAGATCCGCCCGTTGCCAAAGGCTTCAGGCATGTGCTGCAGGGTCCTCGCCATCTGCCAGCGGCCCGCGCCATCAATGAGCATATGCTTGAGCTCAACGGGTGGGGTCATGAGCAGGTTGACGTTCTGGCCCTGGTCATCAACCAAAAGATGCGCAGACTGCATGCTCCAATTGACCCTCGCCAAAGTGAGGTAGGTCGCAGAGAGCGGGCCCCAACACTTGCCCCACGAGGGAGCACCTTTGAACTTTTCAACTATGGCCATGCACGCTCTTTGTAGCTCTGCCAGGGACACCACTCGGTCCCACACCATGCTGGCGTATCTCACCACAATATTGGTTGTAGCATCAAAAACTGGATCATACTGGCTGTCAGTCTGCGTGCTGAGCCACGCCGTGATGGATGCATGCGAACGTGCTCCCACCAGTGTAGCGGCAGCTGACCGTAGCTTATTCAATGTGGCATCCGTGACTCCGCTTACACCTGCGCCATGTGCAGCAGACGGTAGCAGCCCTGTCCTCCATAAAGTACGCACCTTCTCCTTTGCCCCTCGAACCAGGGCCTGCAGCTTGGTGCGCTTCGCCATGAACGCCGAAAGCCTCTTGCGCTCCTGGACTCGCCGAACTCTGCCCCTTGACAGCTCGTGCCCAAGGTTGCGCATGTGATTGAAGACCTAGATCCGGTGCTCGCGTGAACTTTGACAAAGATTCGCGCGCAGCATATCCTGTCGCCACAGATCTTGACGTGGACGTCTGTATGATCAAGCCGTACTCAAACACCTGCTCCGTGAACCATCGCAGCAGCGAGGAGAATGCCAGCACCCTTCGGCGATGAACCCAGTGGGAAAATGCATCATCCATCAACGATCTAGATATCACACCAGGAAGAATTTTCTGAGCGTGAGCAAAGCCTGGTGCAACATCAGGTGAATCATGACAGTGGCGTGCGTGCAGCCTGCGAGGACCCCCTTGGTATGATGTATACGTATCCGACAAGCGATCCCCATCCTTTTTTAATCAGCCGCGGGCACTGATCGTTGGCCAGGAGCAGCCAACTTAATCTGAGAGGAAAACCGAGCTCATGTGCCCTTTTTGCACCAGGCACGGCAGTTTGATCATCTCGAAACACTTGTACATGTCAATGAGTACTGTGATAGAAACCTCTTGTCGCAACTGCGCCATCTCAGACACTACGTTGTATGAGAAAGCGGCGTCAACTGAAGTGGCTCCCGCGCGAGTGCCCCAGAACGCTTCACTGGGGTGTGACATTTCCCATGCTTTCGAGATCGGCCTGCGAAGACGGCTCCATACTCTCACTATCGTCTGGATGAGGAGAGAGGAGGAAGACGGGTCGCCTAAGCCGCTCGGAGAAACCTTCCACCTCCGTCGACTTCACTGGGTTCGCGCCACCGAAGCCACACTCTGCTGCGCGCTGCCTCGGCTCGCGCGCTCCACAAACCAGAGCCCCCATTGCCCGCCGCCGTGTCCCCTGGCATGTGGAGGCCACAAGCCCAGGAGGAGGAGGAGGAGGAGGAGGAGGAGGAGGAGGAGGAGGAGGAGGAGGAGGAGGAGGAGGAGGAGGAGGGGGGGGAGGGGCAGGGGGAGGGGGAGGGGGAGAGGGAGGAGGAGGAGGAGGAGGAGGAGGAGGAGGAGGAGGAGGAGGAGAAGGAGGAGGAGGAGGAGGAGGAGGAGGAGGAGTAGGAGTATGAGTAGGAGTAGGAGGAGGAGGAGAGGGAGGAGGAGAATGAGGAGGAGGAGGAGGAGGAGGAGGAGAGGGAGGAGGAGGAGGAGGAGGAGGAGGAGGAGGAGCAGGAGGAGGAGGGAGAGGAGGAGGAGGAGGAGGACGAGAAGAAGGAGGAGGAGAAGGAGGAGAACAAAGAGGAGGAGGACCTCACGGAGCCCCTCCTCAGAAGAGAAAAACTCGCGTGTTCCGTGTTGGGATGTGTTCGGGAGGCGCCGCTCGGCCACCCCCCGTCGCTTCCCGGGACTTCGGCTCGGGGTTCCAGGCCAAGAATCCAGGCAGGTAGCCGGGGATGCGCGCTCCCGAGTCGTCAAGCTCTTGCATCTTACAATTTGAAGCGTGCCCCCCGAGGCCACCATCCCTCGCAGAGCCCCAAAGGGCACCCTCAAGACAACCCTGGAGAAGGTCAAATCAATGATTGTCCTTAGGTTTTTCATGTGTTTCCTCGTCGACGTCGTCGTCATCGTCGTCGTCGTCGTCCCCCTTGAAGGATCGGCGGCACGGGTCGTAAGAACTTCGCGATATCTCTGGGGGCGCGCTCCAGAAGCTTCGAACCCTTGTAACTTACAATGGTCAAGGGGCCCCGGGACACAACTAAATACACACACGTAACAGGATTCCCCATCTGTTCCCATATATTCTGGGTTGTTGTCTTCCCCCCACTTCCCATATTTTCCCATAGGTTCTGGGGAATCGACGATTAATTGTGTCTGTGTTTTTCCCCCTCCCTGAAATGGAACCGTGCCTCCGAGATCACCATCCCTCACTGGTCACTACTACAGACGCGCGTAGCCAACCAGCTGGCAAACAGCCCAAACCAAATTGCCAACCGCCGATTTCGACAATGAGCCAACCAGCCGAGGTGCCAGCCAGCCAACCGAGAAGAAAAAAAACCAACCTGCCAACGAAGCGTGGCCATGCAGTCAATCTGAGGCGGGACCAGCGGCAGAGGGCGAAGCCCTTCATAGAAATAAAGAACGCTTTGCATGCTTCTGCAGGTCACCACTCGTATCAGCCTGGAACCATGGAAGCTCTGCCTCAGACAGGCAATAAAACAACATTGCGCCAATGCTGTAAATATCGCATTTTGGCCCAAATTGCCCTGAACTCACCACAGCTTGCCACACTTCTGGAGCGATGTAACCAGGAGTGCCGGCAAATCTGTTAGTGCGCTTATTGTACAGCTCAGCAGCTCCAAAATCGATTACGACAACGTGTGGATGTTCGTAATCCTTCGTCAAGAACATAATATTGTCGGGCTTCAAGTCCTTATGGATAATATGCTTGCCATGGCAATACGCTGTCGCCTCCAGCACCTGCCGAAACACGTTAGCTAAGAAAGATTCGGAAACATCGAAGTCTGCCCAACAGATCAATTCCACAAGATCGCCCCCAGAGGCGTATCCGAGGATCATGTACAAATTCTTATAATCCTCGTAGTGTTCAACGAGACGATTGACGTTCGGGTGATCTAGATCTCGGAGCAACTGGATCTCGTCCTGGAAACTTTTGATGGCGTCGTCTGTCATCCCATCCCCACAGGCATGCCGTTTGTCTACAACTTTGCAGACCAAATTGGCAGCACCATTGAGAGGCCGCACCAAATGCACAACGCCGAAGGCGCCACGACCCAGTTCTTGGAGGAGTTCGTAATGGTCTTTTGGGTGCCCCCTGCTTTGCTCGAGAAGCCAAGACCTACAAACAACTGTTTTGCCAGGGCGGGCATCAGCAAAGGACAGCGAGGTGTATCGATTGTCTGCAGTGCCTGGCGACATAACTTCGAGTTCGTCCACTAAAAACCATCGCCCACACACCTTGCAAGCGTGTCCGTTCTCTAACACGACCTTACCAACACAACCTGTGGCCCTGATACATACATCACTCCCGACAACAAATCGTGGCATCTGTCCGAACTGTGCACTCTAATGTGCTTGAGCCCGATTCCGGAGAATATCACACTTTGAAAATTGGCCAGTGTGGACCCCGACCAGTGCGTTGTTGCACGCTGGATGTGTAAGCATGTGGTCCACGATACGTTGTGCAATGGATGAGTAAAACTTGTGTTGCGAAAGCTCTGTGAGGCAATTATTCTAGTGCGACATGTATGGTGTGAGCTATGCCGTGCAGGGGTAAACCATCAACGATGCGCAAGCCCTGTGATGCCAGCGCCGCGGCACGACACGTGCGGAAAAAGCAAAAACAGCTGCGCGGTGCAAGCTCTGTGGCGAAAGCTGTGTGTGGTGCAGGCCGTGCGGTGCAGGCTGTGCTGTGAAAGCTGTGCGGCCGCCCAGCGCACAAGGCGCCCACGGGCGTGCACACTGCGGGACCTCGGCCGAATCACCCGGCGCACGAGGCGCCCACGAGGCGCCCCGGAGGCGCCCACGCGCAAGCACCGAGGAGACGCCTCGGCCGAGCCACCCGGCGCACGAGGTGCCCACCGGCGCCACCGTGCGGGCACTAAAGCGAGGCCTCACCGGGGCAATACCTCGGCGCACCCGACGCGAGGCGCCCGCGGGCACCGACCAGCCAGGCACCGGACGAGACCTCGGCTGACCCACCCAACCTCGTGGAAGAAGAGCGAGGCCCCCCTACGCGCGGGCACCGCTGGGGAACTGTGCGATCCACAAGACTGACCTCAAGAGGGCCCACGACCAGCTCGGAGATCGTCCAAGAGGACCCACGATCGCCCGAGGACTGCCCAAGACGCAGACATCAGATATGCGGCCCAACACTTCACCAAATCGCCCGAAGAGGGTTTAAGGACCTTTCAATGACCCGGGGCCTCCCCCAGGTGGTCCCGAGACAGCCCAAGCGAGCTCCCGAGATGGCCGAAGACCAGCCAAAGATGGCCGCGAGACCTGCAAGCATGGCTTCAGGACGGCCCAGGAGGGCCCCCACCCCAACACCACCCAAGAGGGTACCAATGACGCCCACGAGAGCATTAAAAAGCGCGGAGAGGCCCAGGAAAGGCCGAGAGGACCCCGAGACGGCTCAAGGGATCACCAATATCCGCCCATGATGGCCAGAAAGCGCGCCACAAGGGACCAAAACAAAACAAAAACCTCCCTTCCTTCCTCCTGCTCCCTGCCTGCTGTCTCCGCCCGGCACACCTTCCGCCTGCCCGCCCGCCCTGCTGGCCCTGGCCTCCTACCTGCGCGTTCGTCGTTGTGTGCCCGCTTCTCCCCACCTCTGACTCCTCCGCCGGGCAACGCAGCCTACCCGGAGCCAACGTGGCGGCGCGCAGGGCGTTGACGGTAGACTATGACCTCTCTATTGTCGGTTCTGTGCGATAGGGTCAGAGTAGATGGGGTCGGAGGATCGCGCCGTATCGCCGATGCGTGACCGATGCATCGGCGACACCAGCGTGGAGGAAATCGGGCCCCACATCGAGCCGCATAGCCGACGCGTCAGCGATGCGGCGCGATCCTCGGACCCCATCTACTCCGACCCCATCTGTCTGGGAGGCCTGGAATGTCTGCATGTCCACTGCCTATTGAGCAAGGACCGACCGTACCGGCATTCTTATAGTCATACCACGACATATCCTTAGAGATCAAAAACGTTCTAAGAGCAAAAGCAATGTTCTTATACCATAAACCCGACGTGCTAAAACAAGACAGACTCCGCCAGAAATGGTCTAAGAACATTTCGTGCAGATCACAAAAGGTTCTTAGAGCATTGTTTGGCAGGGCTATTGGCGAGCCAGGACGCTTCGCCACTGCTTGAAATCTGGGAGGCCTGGACTGTCTGCATGCCCACTGCCTGGGGGGCCCATCTCCCAGCACCCGCTCGGGCGGCGGGCAGGACCGCCCTCGGGCCCTGGGGGAGCCCAGCGAGGGCCCCCCCGAAGGCCGAAGAGAGGCCGGCAGGAGAGCTTCCCGTGCCGAGCTGCTCCTCCAACGGGAGCACGCTGGGGAGGAGGAGGAGCACGAGGAGAGACACGAGCAGGAGGAGAAGCATGATGGTGATGATGATGACGGGGAAATTGCTGATTGTGAGGATGATGATGGTGATGATGAGGATGGGAACGATCAGGATGATGATGACGATGATGTTGATCAGGAGGGAGGAGGAGGAGGAGGAGGAGGAGGAGGAGGAGGAGGAGCAAGGAGCAAGGAGCAGGGAGCAGGAGTCGCGCCGTCGGGATCCCCGGCTCGGATCGTTCGGACCCCATCTGGGACGGTGGGCCTGTCTTCCACCTCCACCACCACAACTTGGAGGGGGAGGGGGTCCTCCTCCTCCTCCTCCTCCGCCTCCTCCTTCTCCTCCACCTCCTTCTCCTTCTCCTCCTCGCCCTCCTCCCCCTCGTCCTCCACTTCCTTCCCCCCTCTAACTTCTGGTGGTGGTAGAAAACAGGCACATCATGGGATGCCCAGATAAATTTGGCCTCGACAGGGGAGACGCGTCCGATGAGGGAGGGGCCGCGCGGCGCAAGTCGGCGCAGGCGGGCAGCGGCAGCGCCGCTGCGGCCGTCACGGCAGGCGTCGTCGCAGCGGCCGCCGTGGCCAGCCGCCGTCGTCGACGCGGTTTGCCCACGGTGGCTTTGCACACGCGAGCGACGAGAGCGGGTCCGACTCGGGGGGGTCGGGGGCGGACTTGTAGGACAGCAGAGGGCGGGGTAGAGCATCAGCTCACGCAGCTGGTCTTCCTGGCGCCTCCCGGCGCCTGGAGGCGCCCGTGCATCAAGAAACGGACCCGGTGGCGGGGCCGAAACCAGCTGCATGCAGCAGATGTCGCAATCCCCCATTTCCAAACCCCCTCTTTTCGTTCGGTCCGACTTGGGCCTGATGGCATAGAGACCTTACTCGGTGGATTACGCCGGCCGCCAGCGAGGCACGCTGCAGCGGCGAGGGCGCTTACGCGCGACCTTTCGCGGGCAGCTTGTGCGTCAATGCCCGCAGTGGACCCCGCTTTTCTGCGTCCAACATTTCCATCCCCTTTCCCACAAACGTCGTCAATGGCTGGTCTGGCTCAAGAGAAATCACCCTGGGAACGAAACGTGAGCCCGTCCCTTGCAGCAACAGCTGCATCGATGTGCTGCTGTCTGTGGGAGACAACGAAGTACCGATACCGCCACTCCTG